GGGGGGTGGGGAGCTGGGGAGAGATAGCAAGGGGAGAAATGCCAGATGTAGGTGATGGGGACGAAGGCAGCAAATCATACTGCCACGTGTGTACCTATGCAACAATCTGGCCTGTTCTTCACATGTACCCCAAAACCTAAAATGCAATAAAATAAATGGGAAAAAAATGAAGAAATACTTGGATTAAAATTTTATTATATAAAAAAAAGAAAATGAGATCAGAATACACACCACAGAAAACCGCTAAATACCTGGAGACTCCTTAAAGAATTGACACTGCAGATCTCCCCTGCTCTATAGTCCCTAGCGAGGTCTCTTTCTAAAGGTCCTGAGACATCAAAATAACCCTGGACCTCAGCTCAGAGGACCAGCAGCTCGGAGGGTCCCAGGTCCCGCGCTTCACCAAGACCTCTGGAACAGGCGCTCCTATATGCTGGACGCGGGTCGCACACCGTTCCTGGCCAGGATGCGGACGCTGGGGCGGCCAGGACCCCACAACCGCCGCCACGCAGACTACTGGGGCCCAGATGCCCACAAGGAGTCAGGGCCCAAAAGCGAGCGGTGGGGAAGGAGCAGGGAGGCCCGGAGGGTTCCCGGTGGGGTCCATGCCCTGCCACTTACTGCGAAACCTGCCTCCTGCTCCCCCATCACATGGAAGCCACCACAGCTTCTCGGAAGCGCGCTGGGACCGCGCGGCCGCTTCTGGACGCCGCCGCCTTTGACCGTTGCTTTTGCTGGCTCGGACCACACCTCCGCTGCTTCTGGTTGCTTCAACAACGCCACGGCTTCTGCTGGGGCCCCGAGGGAAGCGCCGTCTCGGCTTCCGTAGAGGCGCGCACGCCTGCAGCGTCCCTAGCGACTGGCTGACGCACCACCCCCTCTTAAAGGGGCCGCGGCTCGCACTGTACAGAAGCAGCTTCGCGTTGCGGCACAGGCTGAGACTCTGCTCAGCCCCAGCGGTGAACGAAAGGCCCCAGTCTCTCCTCCCGGCTCTAGGGCCCTAGAGGTGGCAGGAGTGGAGCCCTGTGACCCCAGCCCCGAGATCGGCTCCCTTTGCCTGGGAGCTTCCAGGACCTGCCCCTGCCCTCCTCTGGACCTCAGCTTCACGATCCGGAAAGGAAGCGGCCTGGCTGGAGCTCTGGGGTCCCTCAAGCGCGGCGCCTCAGGATGCAGGGCGGGCTCCCTGGTTTCTCTGTAGAGGGGACCATTAGAACCACGGAAATCTGGGGGCTGGAGGGACAGTCCCGAGGGCAGCTGGGCCTCCCCGGCCTCCCTGTCCGCATCCGTCCTGTGGGAGCCTGGGGGCCTGGCTAGGGCCCAGACACCCGAGGCCTCACCAGGGCTGCGTGGGTTACCGGCTCCCCAGGAGACAGGCAGGGGCCCTGGGGTCCAGCGCTGCCGCACCTCAACTCCATCCTAGGTCAGCCCCGGAGGGGCCCTGTGGAATGGACCCAGCGAGCCCCTTCCGAGGGAGAGGGACCCGCATTGCATCTGTCTCTGTGACACCCACGGGAGGGCCGTGCTGGCCTCTCCCGGGGATCTGGGGCGAGGCGGGGGAATCCCAGCCGCCTGGCCAACATGCTGAAACCTCGCCTCTACTAAAAATACAAAAATTAACCGGGCATGCTGGCGCCCGCCTGTAATTCCAGCTACTGGAGGGGCTGAGGCAGGAGAACCGCTTGAACCCGAGGAGGAGATTGCAGACCTGGGGTCACTGCAGTCTCCACTTCCCAGGCTGAAGGAATTCTCCTGCCTCAGCTTCCCGAGTAGCTGGGATTACAGGCACCCACCACCGTGAGCGGCTAATATTTGTATTTTTAGTAAAGACAGGGTTTCACCGTGTTGCCCAGGCTGGGCTCAAACTCCTGACCTTGCGATCTGCCATCTTGGCCTCCCAAAGTGCTGAGATTACAGGTGTGAGCCACCTTGCCCGGCCGGGTCAGGGGTTCAAGACCAGCCTGACCAACATGCTGAAACCACGTCTCTACTAAAAATACAAAAATTAGCCGGGCGTGATGGCACATACCTGTAATCCCAGCTACTTGGGAGGCTGAGGCATGAGAATCACTTGAACCCAGGAGGCGGAGATTGCAGTGAGCCGAGATCAAGCCACTGTACTCCACCCTGGGCGACAGAGCAAAACTTCGTCTCAAAACAAAAGCAAAAACAAAATAATATTCAAAATGATAAAGACAGAAAGTAGAATGGTGGTTGCCAGGGGCTGGCAGAGGAGGAAACGGGGAGTTTGTATTTAACGGGTAGAGAGTTTTAGTCTTACAGGAGGAAAAGAACCATCCGGGCATGGTGGCTCACACCTGTAATCTCAGCATTTTGGGAGGCTGAGGCGGGCAGATCACCTGAGGTCAGGTGTTTGAGACCAGCCTGGCCAACATGGAGATACCTTGTCTCTACTAAAAATACAAAAATTAGCCGGGCCTGGTTGCGGACGCCTGTAATCCCAGCTACATAGGAGGCTGAGGCAGGAAAATTGCTTCAACTCTGGAGGTAGAAGTTGCAGTGAGCTGTGATCCTGCCACTGCACTCCAGCCTGGGTGACAGAAGGAGATTACGTCTCAAAAAAAGAAAAAGAAAAGAGCCATGGAGACTGATGGCAGTGATGGTTGCGTGACATTATGCATACATTTACTATGTTTAATATGACTCAACTCTGTACCTAAAAACAGTCAGGATGGTAGATTTTATGTTAAGTATAAATTATCACAATATTTTAAAAATTGAAAGAAAATCAGGAGCAAAGATTTTACCAAAGCAATATGTAGACGGCGGGTGCATGAAAAAGGTATTCGACATCATTAGCCATTAAGGAAGTGAACATTAAAACCACAATATTACTACGGGCCTATCAAAAATTACTACAGACTTATCAATGGTTAAAATAAAACATTGGTAGTGCCAAATACTGGAGGAACTGGATCATTTATACATTGCCAATGAGAATATATTTTATATTATAAAGTTTATTGAGTACAGCTGTTCTTGAATATACTTTAGTAGTTTCTTTTTTTTTTCCCCATTTATTTTATTGCATTTTAGGTTTTGGGGTACATGTGAAGAACATGCAAGTCTGTTGCTTAGATACACACGTGGCAGTGTGATTTGCTGCCTTCCTCCCCATTACCTACATCTGGCATTTCTCCCTTTGCTATTTCTCCCCAGCTCCCCACCCACCACCGTCCCTCCCCTATTCCCTGCCAACTGACTCCAGTGTATACTGCTCCCCTCCCTGTGTCCATGTGTTCTCATTGTTCAACACCCGCCTATGAGTGAGAACATGCGGCATTTGATCTTCTGCTCTTCTGTCAGTTTGCTGAGAATTATGGTTTCCAGGTTCATCCATATCCCTACAAAGGGCACAAACTCATCATTTTTGATGGATGCATACTATTCCATGGTGTATATATGCCACATTTTCCCTGTCCAGTCTAT